ATTTTCTCACGATGAGTAGACCTAACGTTTACATTAAATTTAACATGGCCTTCGTTCCCAAAAGGTATTTTCATCCAAGGAGGACGGCAGTTTCGGCTTCGTCTAAGTCTTATCAATACTCCAGCGGGCCCCGAATCCAGTTGGCTTAGGATATATTCTCGACACATTAATTCCTACTCCATATTGCAACGAGTGCCCTCAGGCCACTGGGCAGACTTGAAGTTCAAATAGGGCGAGGCATTTCCCATATCACATTTTTCTAGTGATATTATATCCCCTATCACACTAAACTATATTATTTATATACGTATTTATTAGGTTTATAAACTACTACTAGATCTTAATTAATCCTAGTTAAAGCGTCCTTATATTCAATTATCAGTATTTCATTTCATGCTACCTGAGCTGAATACATCTCTAATTCATAATATACTAGTAGTATCGAAACCAACTCAGACTGAATATTGGATCATTATGTTCATAAGTTGTGTTTTGATAAGAAGTGCCGACATAAGCCAAAGCGTAATAGCCGCATTATTATACTTAATGAGCTACCATAAGTTTATTGACTGGACTCAGAGGAAAATATTTACCAAATAAAAATCACGCATTTACCTTACCATGGCTTTTTCGACCCAATAAAAACAAATTGTTTATTAGGAGACTTTTTATATTCATATTTAATTTCATAGACAATGTATATATTTGTGTCTAATAGATATGCAACGCTTCCTCAGTCTGTTTCGAATTGTTTCACTTTCTTCCTTTTTGATTATCTCATATTTCTTCTTTTCATTTTTTCATTGAGGATAATTTTGGCACCTATTATACAACCTTTGCCACTCTTTTAATGCATTCCGTTTTTTACCACTCTCTGGTCTAGCAATTAGCCCATGAAAAATCAGAAGTGTTCCAACGTGAACAGAAGGTACGTGAACAGGCTTCTTTCCTATCAGGACAAGAGGCAAATTGTTTGGAGGCGCAAAACCGAGTCAACGAGGCCGTACGTACAGCGGCCAATATTCGTCAGGATCTGACAGGCCTCAAGCAGCAGACGGCCGATTTTCAGAGCGAAGTAAGCGATCAATCCTCTATGCCAGAGACGCTAATTTTGTGATTCCGAAAGACGCTTTCCTGAATACTGGGGCAGTCTTTAATTTCATTTGACAATGCGAGTGTAAGGGCTTTGTGAATTGACCTCATCGGAAGCTAAAGTAGTATTGCTTTGGAATTGTGACCGTAGCATTGTGCGAATAAGTCCTCGCCACTCCGTCCGACGACACCGATAAATCCATGCTAAGCTTGGCCTAGCTCACCGTGACAGACCTTATAATGGCAGTAAACAAGGTTAATTAGCCGAACATGAAGTCAAGTAAAGTGGCTGGTTGT